CAACTCAACTCAAATCATCGTATTTGCATCAACTCAATTCAATTTAACGCTACTACATCTCGCGTTATATCGCTGGCAATAGTTGTCTCTTCTTCGACATCACCCTCTCAAACGAACCTAACAATATTCGCTACAAAAGTATCCTTTGTATGGGTCATCAAACATTACAACTTTCGAAGACTAAAACATCTCTGAAAAACTGGGAATTCCTCTAAAACACTTGGGTTTACTTGATTATTAGAGAGACGTAGGGGAATTTATTATATTGGAAAAAAGTGGCAACCTGCCATCAGACACTGGATATTATAATGAATTTTCAATAATTAAAATTTTAATAGAAAATTCGGATCAAAATAAGAGGCAAGTTTTAGCTTTCGATAAATATACATGACACCTGGATCCTACATTACATATATTTTTTCAACTAGGCTATAATGTTAGTTATAGATGTTCTAACAGTTATATGAACCCAAAATTCTACTATAATTAAAATTCAAGGAATTACGAACTAGTAATTCCACTACTGTAGCAAAGGTCACCTTATCCCTGTAATAAACAGGATTGTTCTTGTGTTACTGATAACAAATAGCATAAGATTGTACCTCTACTTATGTTGACAACCGATGCATCACAACCGTTCAGTCATTACAGTAAAGGAAGATATGGATACGATCTCAGTGCTCTTGGATGTTACGACAATACCACACCATACGGTGATAACTACAATCGATTCAGTACTACTATTCCGACAACAATCAAATTGGCATTTATAATACTAATCGCTACGAAAATCGTGGTGATTTTGATAGGTTTCATTTTTTTACAACTACATATTTTTTTGCAATTTTTTTACAGCTACAACTACATATGGAATTACCAAAATTTACAACTTTGCAACTATACACTACATATTTCAACTACGACAATTTTATTTCGTTGAAATTTATTTGAACAATGGTATTTATTCTTATTTTCTAATTAAGAAATTTTTTTAGCATCCTTCCGGCTGCAGCCATTATGACCAGTGACGGATAAACTCCTGTGCTTACATGTTGACGAAATTATACGCATTCCAGCAAACAGATGAAATGCTTAAAAAACGATGTGGAATATTTTTAGGAAGTCTCCAGATGAAATGCTGAATATTTGCGAGTAAATTAACTTCAATAACTAATAACTAATAATTTTGGAAATAACTTTTGGAAACAACGCTGCAATGTACTTTTTGCTTTCAATTTACTATTGTTTAACAAACCTGGCATGTCATGACAAAGCTTATTGGAGGAAAACTATTTTTTACCATTTATAATCTGTACAGTGGGTGTGTCGGTGATAATTCCTTGAAAGAACTGTGCTACTTGTGGGAACCATTTCGTAGTCTCTATGTTACAACTGATAAATCATTGGGTTATGTTTGCAGTGAAGGATACCCGTGTTTGTGTTCCTGAAAATCGCTTTAATCCAAAATTTTAACAATTTTCGAAATATTGTAAATGCATAATTCGTAGAGCATCCGTACACTTCACGAATGCAATTTTAGAGGATAAGACGAACAAATATGGGTGGGAATCAATAATATTTCGACATGTTTGAACTGTTTATAAAATAAAAAGCTTAGAAAAGTGAAAATTTCGAAAACTGTGATTCAAATAGAGAAATGAGCGACTCACAATATCGCGATATTTGCAGTTCTTTTTACAAGTTGGCACTGTGTCCAAGAGGTTGCATCAGGTGTTGCGTATGTGGAATGCATCAAAACCGTTAGATAAATAATTATCAGGTGTTATCAAATGATAATGTGTTATCAAATAATAATCAAATAATAAAAAATCTATTAAACGCTTGCAGGTCTTCATCTTGAAGTTTTCTTTTAAAAAGAATGTAGGCTACAGAATAGAGAGCAAAATTATATTAGTTGGTAACTTAACAAAACTTGGAATTCTTGCAGATTCGTCAGTAACCTGTTCTTTTCAACAGTTTGCAAGCATACATTCGTCGCATTCGATCACCAGTTGAAGGTCATTGCGGTCAACAAGCATACCTCGCATTTCTTACGGTAAAACCGTCTCATATTTTTAAAATAACGAAATTTTCATTAGCATGAACTAACCAGGACTGTTCTCCTATTTAGAGAAATGGTTATTTCGATTATTTGCGATATAATTGCTATGCATTAATCTATCTACAAAAGGCCCGTGACAGCTTTCAGCTCATCAGCTTGTTAAGCAACTATCGATGGCTCAGACCAACCGGTATTTATCGCCAACATATTTAATGTTATCGGTGGAAGGTCAGTAGGGATGGAATGAGATTTGTATTGTGAATATTTCTAAATTCGATGGAAATATGCTTCCCATTTTTGTGAAATTCTACAAATTTGCAGACGATACGTCTTTCCGGAGAAACGCTATTTCCGTATGTACATTGGCTGCTATATAGCATACATAGTAACCGTCCAAGTTGTCTCTGCTATCATTTTTATTTTTTATCAGCATTATGATAATACACATACGGGTTCATTGATCTGAGATACAAATAAATAAAATTTTGCTGCTGTTATACAGGAGCGGGCTGCTGTTATTGTTGTAATCTCTTTGCTATCACTTCTCTCTTTTCAGATTGTCTAAGGTACGCAAGAGTAATCATTAAAGTCAGAAAAATGGATAGCATTTTATGTGAAAAAAAAGAACAGTCTGGAAGATCTAAATGGCTGTGGAAAGTTGAAAATTCCTTAATGAAACTGAATGCAGATTCAGATGAATGCAAATAATGATAACAATTTGTGATACAGCGAACACTACCATGAGTTTTTATTCGATGATTAAGCTGTTATTAGTTGTTGAATGCTAACAGCAGTTCAGAGTGAAATATGGATTTCGGATATGAACTTCATGAACAGATCTGAAGGATGGGATAATGAGGATAATGATGTACATTTGAAAATGCTAAATGCAGTTGTTAGCTTGTTCACTGCAGACCTGGCGGTTCCTACAATACTGCAAGTATTGTGGAGATGACAATTGCATTTAGGGGCCATGTTATCAAGCTGACGTGTATAGTGATCGTTGCATGGAGAGTTGAAAGTGGTTTTCCAGGTAGTTTTATGTTATATGTTGTGCAGTGGAGTCATTTCTTTCTGGCTGTCCGTATTCGTAACACACGGAATATGTAAATAAATCTTTCTGGATAAATGGGAGGGTCAATAGCCACCGTTTTTGCCAGTTATTTTAAGTATATAAAAATTTAAACGAGCCGAGAACCAGGTACTGCACTCTTGGCCATCGTGTAAATGAAGTGGACAGTTCATTGATTACTTTTGCAAGTCTTAAATTAATCGTGTGTGTCGGGACAAAAGCCATGAGTAGTTACCGTAAAGATACAGTGCTTATTATGTCCAAATGTGGAATAGATCTGTAAGATTCCTTCTTCGTCACCTTTAGTCTATTCAAGACTGAGGAAAACTGTTTTAATAGTAGATAAAATAGAACTGACCATTATGACTGCAGGAGCTTTATGGATGTCGTTGAAGTGGTCAAGACATTGATGGATGTGGCTTCCGATGCTGTGCAACACTGCTAGATGTACTTCTGTTCCAGGTGGTACTCTTTCCTCATTTTCAAAGTCGGTTAAATCATTCCGTTAATCGTGGTAGACATTTAATTGAGCATTTTAAATCCTTAGCTTGATTGTATTGTAGTTGACGAGTTGTTATCAAATTGTTAGAACTCTGGAGAGATTAGTTCTCCGGAGGGAGAAATTGCTAGAACTTTGGAGAGAGAAATGTTAGAACAACCATTAAGTTGGACGTAGACACAGAAACGGTGAACATAATTTTTCAGGTAGTGCTCAGTGCATCAGTGATTTGGTTACGGAGGAAAGTATTGACGAAGGTACACAATAACTTGATATCTATTGAACGAAATAATATTAGTGGCAGCAATTCTCGGATTATCTGTTTCGATTTTTTTCTTTTCCGAAAACAAATTCCAAAGTTATATTATATGGGTTTGTAGGTTTGGAAAGTGACAAATGGACAGAAATGTTCTGTCAAAAATTTATTGGTAATTTGAGTATGCGCTCACTCATTGCATCGTTTGTGTTGTCTGTACTGCTGCTGAATTTTGATGCTTTTTGGTATGTCTTAAATCTTCATTAGTTTTTGGAATTTCATCTAAAGCCTTATTTTTTTTCTCTCAATGTTTTAGTAATTCGAATGGTCAGCTGAGTCCGCAAGAATTAGCCCCACCGAGGCCATTTTTCCCATCCAGTTCGAAGAAATATCTTGTTGACTATTATACTGGTAATGATGCAGAACCACGGAATCTGTTATACAACTCTGAAATTGTCATTGTTATGTATTATGCACCGTGGAGCAGGAGATGCACCAGAGCACGTGTAATCTTCGAGAATGTTGCGAGAAGTTTAAACGCATCTTCTGATGTAAGCTTTTTCATTATTCATAATATTTCTTTCTCTATATATTTTAAAGTATCGAACTTCGCAACATTGCTGTTAACGTTTTCCTTCTCAGAAATGCAATTTAAGAGAGCTAGACCAATGAAAAAAGCTTTTAGTCCTATTGATTTATTTCCTTTTCCCGGTCTTAAGAGTAGAGGGTTGAGGGATGTATTCAATCATTAAATATTTAATCACTGGTTTGCATATTAGAGGATCTAATTTATACCCTTTGAAGTAAAGTAGAGTCTAATTTATACCCCTTGGAAAGTTACTGAATTTTTATTGTACTGTTGAAATTATGTCATTATTTGAAATTTGTTCGTAATATTTTTGTGCAGATATCATTCGCAGCAGTCAACTGTTTTTTTCCCCATGGAGATTGTAGAAAATCTCACAAAACATATACATATCCAGTCATTGTTGCATATATCGGAAAGCAAAGTTTAATGTATACCGGTTTACTGGCATCAGACTACATATACAGGTAAAGAATTTACCCCATATTCTCGTTTAATACCCTCTCATCATCATTTCTACCCTTTTTCTGGATGTACGTTAATCCTACGCAGCTGCTCAAATATTTATTAATTTAGGTGGATATCACGTTTGCGAAACCCTGTTCGTCGTCTTATAACTCCATTCGCTTTGAATAGCTTTCTGGACGAATTTGATGATGCAGTCATTGCATTTTTCCATGCGGAGGTTAATTTCTCCAAAATTTCCTAGAAAATCCATTTAGACTTTTATCTGGTCGTTTTGTAGTAAATTAATAAGGTTACTCATTCTTTTTTCTAGATTGCATTTGCTATATCATATGAATTTCAACAGTATATCAAAGCAGCATTAATTGTTTTCCAACATCGTATGTTTCTGTTCGTTGCCAAGGTTGCCAATTATCTAGATTTTAGGAGCTATTGATTTATAAACACCCACTACAAATTTCCTAAATTTCAGTTTGGTCAAATCTTCCTGTTTTTTCATGGTTACGACTCATTACCTCTTTCTGATTATTTCGGAATCAGATTTCCATTTTCTTTTCTGTCTCGTGAATTTATTTTATGGACGAAAGGTTTAGTAAAACATTAAAAAGGATTCCAATTTATTCAAATTGGATTTCTCTGTAATATCAGTTCCTCAGTTCTGATTTGCATGTTAAATTTTCCATATCTCATTCTTGGTATGCAGAGAGAGAGAACTGGATTGGGATTGGAGATTCATGTACATTTTTATTTGCATGTACGACTACTGGAACATTTGCAGAAGATTTGCTGGATAATGTTGGTTTCGCCGTTGTGACAAATTCAAGCTTAGCAATGGACTTAAATTCGTCACCGAAAACGTGGATTCAGCTGAGATCTTGGAACCGTACTTTCAATTATAATAGATCAAATATGACTGCTTATAAAATCTTCGAGTGGGTTAAAAAGCAAGCACTTAAATCAAATGGTCTTCAGTGGATTAATCCAGGTTATGTCTCATCGTTACATTTCATTTCAAACTTGGAGAATTTTGAATAATCGTTTTTTCAAAGATTTTTGTTTCAGAAATGAATGGTATTGCAAAAAGTGAGGAGTTGCTATCGGTTTTACAACATGGTGCAACAGTCGTGGTGTTTGTAGATCGTCAGGTACTTTACCCGCATAGCTGGACAGTTTCAGTGGTTAAACAGGTGAATTGAAATTTACTGTATCATGAAATGTATATATAGAGTCTTATTAAAATCTTTGTTATGAACTTTAAGCTATTATTGCTTGCGAAATATCATTTTGTCAATACATATATGTTTTGATCAGGAAAGGTTTCTTATCAAAGGGAAAGGATGTTATAAATGGAGAGTTTGTTATTATTGACAGTGTTTTGTTTACGGAGTTTCAGTTTGAAATCTTATAATCATTGTACTCGAATGGAAGTTGGATATATTAGCTGGGGAGATATTTACTCAACGGTTTTTCACGGTGTATTCTTTTCAGACTATCATGGAATATTATGCATGTGGTGCAGATTTAACCAATCAAATGAAATCTAGATCAGACAAGCTTGATGCATTGGTTAATGAAAGAAATCAAATAATTACAGTGAACAGTCATAAATGTCAGAAAACTGGTGCTCATATTATGGAGGCAAGCTGTCCTCATTGGCATTAGTGAACCTCCAATTTTTTAATCGAAAAATGTATTTTCTTGATTTTGAGATTGATCGACTCATCTGAGATGCAGACCTTTTCAGATCCGAAAGTGCTGCATGATAGAGAAAAATTTTCTGGTGTCTCGTTGTTTGCAATGTCAATCCAAAAAAGGAATGGATTTTTCAGAAAGTGGAAATTGCAGTCAACTTCCACTCTTCTTTTATAATACTTACTCATCACTGTTTCATAATGTGCCTTGTTTATCCATCCTTTCGATACTAAGCGAAGGTTTGCTCTACTCGGTTATACTAATTGCTTAACAAAAATGCAACGTACCATAGGAGATTTATGTTACTTTTCGCTGTTAAATACTGAAAAGATCGCTCGTATTTTAAAGGAATTTAAAATGACATAATCTTGCAAAATGTAATATATATTTTCAGAGCAGTTGTTGAGTGATTGCTGTGCACTCCTGATTTCTAAAAACCACCGATTGGATATATCACATAATACATTTGAACAGTGTGCCAAATATAGGCTTGCGCGAAATCTTTATCATAATATTTCTGGTTCAGCCCCATCCACTTGTTACCCGTTTGATGCAACATCGGTCACGGGCCTTTCATGCGACAAAAATAATTCGCTACGGTTGGTGGGTTATCACTTCATTTTGTTCCATAGATTTTGGTTACTTATTTTCGATGCACTTTACCTCTTTTGCATATTTAATAATCAGAAACTAAGTTGAAGTGTGCAATTTAGTATGGTGTTTTCGAAAAGTTATTTCGTTTCAGCAGTTCTGACATACTTAAATTAGCGTGCAATGTATTATTAGCTATTTAGGTTTATCGGTGTTGACAGTCGATATGGTGATTATATGCTAAAGCGATTGAGGAGACCATACAATGGGCGGACTGTCGTACTAATTGTGGATCCGAGTACTGAAAGAACTTTTTTTATGCAAAGCGAGTTTTCCAGGTAGGAAGACTTCATACACGGTACTACATTTATCCGTCTTTCCAATTCTTTGTGTGATATATAGTTCTGACCTGACCATTATTGTTCTGCAACTTACTCCTAATAATTCCATTATTCCATAAATATGGGGAGGTCAGAGTGCTGGATTTTGCTGACTAGTTATTCATTTTCAAAAAATTTTTAGGCATGCTTTCCGTAATTTTTTACGTGCATTTCACAGTGACTCATTGGTGCCACACGTTATTTCCAAAGTTCCACAGAAGGAATCGGGAAATTTGACACATGATAATTTGTCTGTCTTACCGAGTACCAGTGCAAATTCCTTTGGAACGGATGTTGTGAGCGTATTAGACTATTTCTTTCACTACATTGTTTTTTATTCCGCCTGAAGGTTTCTACTTAATAAACCTGATTTAGAAATATCTTCGGAATGACTTTTGAGCTTGTTAGCTGGCTCGAAATAATTTGATGTTGTGTTTTAAGAATGTTATGAGATACTTTTGCAGAACTCGTCTGAGGATATTGTAGTGTTTTTCTCTGGAGGAAATTGGCATGGACCAAGTGCTGCCATAATTCATGTTTACCATTCAGTGGCCCACTACTTCCATCCATTTCTTAAATTCATCAAATTTTACATGTATGATTTATTATTTGTTTCCATTAGGCATTTAGAATTATTGTTGGATGATTTATCCGATTTTCGGAATTGCTTCTAAACGTTGTTACTACATTAGAAGTGACATGTTTTTTTAGAATTGATGTTTCGTTAAACGATCTGCCGTCGCAGTTTCAAATGGATACATTGCCAGCAGTTTTATTTTTCCCTGCAGAAAGGTCTGTAAAATATTTTGTATTGGAGTTATTGGTCAAAACTTTCATAAAATTTTGTTGGAAGTTCAGTAGAAACTACAGTAAATTCATTTTTTTCCTTCAGTGAATAGTTGCATATTTTTCAGGAAGTCGTCTTCATCACGATTTCCAGCTTTAGTTCCACTTACAGTACCAAATTTGATAGCGTTTATCGTGACGAGATGTCAAAGGGAGTTGCGGTGGCAGTTAGCCTTATTTTCTTGTTCACTATTATGTATAAAGAAGAACAGTATACGTTTGCAAAAGATTGCTATCATAATAAGGAACGATATCACATTACTGAGGTTGCTTGCGTCTTCCAGCTACGAGCATTCTCATCTTTTTCTACATTTAATACAAAGGTAAATTACCAAGGTTTTATTGTGATGACTTAGACTTTTTATGATTTTTGCATGCAATGAATATATAGGGACTATTGATATGTTTTTTTCCTTTTTTGATGCAGCGATTTTGGGGCGATGTAACTTCATGAAAACGTTTTTTAAACATCGTTTTTCTTTTTTTTTCAGACGCTCTGAACAACTTCGTTCCACACGTAGACTTCTGAAGACAATGTCGATGCCCAAATTCTCTTGATGCCAGCCAAGGTAATATCTCAAAAATCCCTATAAAAGTTCATGTCAACATTCAGTCCTAAATTTCTGCTCAACCTTGTGATTTTGTCTGTAAAATTTTGCTTGTTACATATATTGCGGGTACTTGGTCGTTGAGCTGACTGTTTATCCATCATGACGATCTTGAGTATTTGTTTCGCATGTACCATGAAACGAGCGTGAAACTGAAGTTAATAAAATGTTTGAGGCCTGAACCACCACTTTTTTCTCCTCCTTTAGGTAAGAATTAGATTAACATCTTTCACTTCCAGTGGACAAATTGTACTTTCTCTTAATGTAGATATCTTGAGATAATCGAACTTCTATGTTTCCATTACCTTGTGAGCTTTAGTCATGTGGTGAACACAAAAAAAATGTTCAAGAACTGGTAATTTTTAAAGCCTATATCCGAACTTTCGGGTATATTCCAATGGCTAACACTTTCAGCGAATCATTTATTTCCTCATTATTTTTGATCGTGGTACGATAGATAAATTTAGTCCGCTGTTATGTTTGTTGATTTAAATTTTTGTGATCGATCAGTTTGTGATGTAATATATTACTGATTTGATTATTTACTGTAGATATTCGGTTAGCATAGAGTGTAATGGGTAGGAAGGGAAAATAAAGAGAAAAGCGGAAATTCTTTTTTATGCACTTTATTAACGGAAAACGGTGTTCATTCACTAATCGATTGCTGGTGCCTTTTTTATTTCCGAAAAAAGTGGTGTCCAAATCCCAGTAGATCCAGGGTGTATCTCTTGTTGTTCCCATGATATGGAAGTTTAAATTAGCGGAAAAAGCAAGAAAAAGAAACACAACTTTTTTAGTATACTTCGTGGAAGATTATTACTTTGCCGTGACTGCACATTATTAAATTCATTGGGTAAAACCTCAGAAATATACCTTCGACTATTCTTTCGTAACTATAGTCATGACGGAGTGACAGACTTCCATGCTGCACATGTGTTAATTTGTGCTTCTTTCTGCTTTACTCATTTCCAAAAATTTGTAACGTAGTTGGAAAGGTGGCAAAGTTGCGTTATAATAATTGAAAGATGGCGTTGAGGGCATATAAAAAAAGTTTGCAAATGCGAATTCGAACAAAAGATGTATTGCATTTTCGCAAACTACAGAGAGCATAAAATGTTGTTTGCATACATCAGCAAACATGTATAGATACAATTCCACAGAGCAGATTTTCCGTCTCTATTAGTGAGAGATGGTTTAAGTTAGCCTGCTCTCCTACTTCTTTATTTTGCAAAATTTATTTTACCATCAAAGAAGGGCCCACACTGTTAAAAGTGTTTATTGGATCTCCTTGAGGCATATTTCCCCAAGTTCTTGACCAGTGTGTGTTAACATCATATTCCGAAGAAAAACTTCATTGATGACTTCTTTCTTTGTGATCTGTGATAATTCAACTAAGCAATATTATACTGCAATAGAAATGGTGGTGTGGATGGATGATTCGTCTAACAGAATCAAGTGATTTTGTTTCTCTGGTATACAAAACAAGACATCGCAGTTATTGTCTGCTTGTCATTTCGGTCATCAAATACGGTAAAATAATTTTGCAGTCCGTCACTGTCTTGATCTTCAAGACCAGTGAAATCCAGTCGTTTTGAAGTGGTACTTTTTTCAGTGTTGAATCGGTTCTCCTTTCCCAGCTGTATTAAAGAAATACATGACCGCGATCTGTGCACACCCATCCCAGTACCATCATTACTTTTATCTCGGATGTGATTCAGTGCAACAATCCTACCTGGTAACTGTGCATTCTACTGCGGTACATAGCTATCTGCAGTGGTGCTACTGCATGTATGAAACGGGAAAAGTAGACAGTTGCGATAATGGCGATGACAATAGTGTAGTGGCACTGCCGGTGGAAGAGACGATGATGCTGGCAGGGATGGGACTGAAATCGATTGGAGCTTTTTGTTGCTTTGAAGGAGTAGCTTTAGTGGTGGCTAAAAACAGTGCATTTTTGCTAAATGTATACTTTCGGGTAATTCGAATGTTTGTGTATGTGTATATATGTGCTTCATATGGATGTCGTCGTCTAGTGTTCTGTGTCACTTTGTTGGTGTGTCGTCGGGACAAACATAAGTAAAATGATATTTTTATAGGCTGCTCGAACAGCAGTGAGAAGCTGGGGAGGGGACAGTGGGCCAAACATACCATCGGTACCGTGGATAATGGTTGCATCTCAAAAAAGAGCAGTAACCGCATCAGGTGTGCGTGTCACCAGTGGCAGCTCCGATCTCGGTCCATAGTGGGAGAAGGGACTGGTGGGACAGCTTGCACCCCTCCTCTTGTCCCCTTACACCGGTTTTGAGGTCTGTGTGTTTTAAAAAGCATTTTTCCCTATTGTATATATCCCACCATTATATATATATGTACACATATACATGTGTATTATGCGTGTGTGTGTGTGTGTGTGTGTTTGTATGTGGTGTATTTGTATATACGTGTGTGCATGTGTGTATGTGTATGTATGTATGTGTGTGTGTGTGTGTGTGTGTGTGTGTGTGTGTTTATGTATCTGTGTGTGTAATATGTCACCGTTGTCAGCTCCGGTCTCGACCCAGAGTGGGAGAGGGGACTGAATAATGGTGCAGCTTACACTTTCCGCTTGTCCCGTAACCCGTTACACACCATTTCTGAGGATTGTCAATGTGTTTTGAGAAGCATTTTCCCTATTGTATATATCCTCAATAAATAAATAAATACATATGTATATATATAGTATATCTGCCTGCTTGGGTGAGTGTGTGTCTGTGCTTCCCAAATTGACAGTTGTCTCCTCATGGTTTAACTCCCTGTTTTCATTCCAACTCTTCAATTGTTGTCATTACTGTTTCATCTAGTTGCTGTGTACGCATTGTATGTAGGTAGGACAGGACATCTTTCATATCAGTTCCACAGTTTATTTTCCAGCGCGTTCTCCTTATGATGTAGATCCTGGGTTATTTTTGTAAAGGGAACTTTGATTTCTACATTTCCGGACATTGTTTAACAGGGACTATAAGCCATTTTACACAGCAGTATCTTTATGTATTCCTTTTCATATTTCCAACAATGGTGCGAAAATATTGCAAATGTCTACCGCAGTCAAAGGATTTTGTCAGATGGCCAATGTCAGGGTCTGATCCCTTATTAATCGGAGTGTATCGGACTCTTATCCATATACAATATTATTATGGCAGCTAGGTCAGCAAGTATGGGTTGTCTTCTTATAGTAACGCGCTTAATCTTTAATCCGATTCTGGTCAGGTTTTTGTTGATTCGCATCTCCCGATCTTATCGACTCCACATATCTTTTGCTTAAAGCTTTGGAGAATACCCCGTCTCTTTGCAGCCGTGTAGTTGCCGAGATTGGTTTGACAGATGACCACGTAATAAACATAAAACTCATTTAAAATATTTCATGTTGCGAAATTTGGCTTCCTAGAAATTAGAGGGCCGAAAAGGTGCGTGGGCGAAAAGAAAAGCCCTATGAAGTAATCACGATATGAGCACATCTCAGAAAGCGATGTAACGAAAGTGGCTTCCACTGAAACATTGTGAATATCTAACAGTTTGTAACAGCAGCTGTATCGTGTCCTTGCGTGGCTTCATTCTTTATTTCAAAACTGCCCTTGTTCTCATTTGACGACTTTTAACTTCTTACCGGCGAACACCAGCGAATCTCATGCTCGCTTTTTGAATAATAAGTATCATCAAAATTTATGTGAGAACAGGAAATTTACATGTGCTTACTCGCAGTACTGGCTACAGATTGTGCTTAGGATGTTTCAGAGGAATGATGAATTCAATTGCTCATTCAGGTTT